CACATTATGGAGACAGAGCCAAAGACAAGGACTTTTGACTTAATGATCTTGGAGGTCTTTTCCAACCTCGATAATTCTGTGACATTAAAAGCAGTGAGGCAGCGACATCTTGAGGAAATCCCTGCTCACTCAACCCTTTGGTGGCACTCCAGGAGTTATGGAATGAGGGATCTTAGGTTCTTGTATTTGTTATTGATCCATTGTCTTATCTCAGTATGTCTCCTGTTTATATATTCTAAAATTCACCTTGAAAGAGCCCTTAAAGGAGTTCAATTACTTTTTATGAATTACAACTCATATAAGGTCCTTCCTACAGATTCAAACCTCTTTTCCAGCCCTCCATCCTCTCTGTCCATCTCACCATGGGGAATCAAGAGAAGACTAAGCAGAGAGTTAAAGATCCTGATGACCAGTCCTGATGGTTCAGCTTAGGCTCCCCACAGCCAGGTGTTTCAACAGAATAAAAAAAAAAACTCACTGACAGTGAAGCAAATTCAGTGAGAGCCATCAAGGTGGTGGGGGAGTTGGATATGGGGGGATGTGAAAAGAGATGGGGAGAAATTGGGATTATTCAACCGGAGGAAGAACGTATAAAGGAATCTTATACCCCTTAACAGTTCCTTGCCTTTCCAAAGGCATTTGGGATCAGAAGAATTGATACCCTGACATGAAGCCACATCTGGGAGCTTAGGCTCCCCACAGCCAGGTGTTTCAACAGAATAAAAAAAAAAACTCACTGACAGTGAAGCAAATTCAGTGAGAGCCATCAAGGTGGTGGGGGAGTTGGATATGGGGGGATGTGAAAAGAGATGGGGAGAAACTGGGATTATTCAATCCGAGGAAGAACATATAAAGGGATCTTATCCCCCCTAACAGTTCCTTGACTTTCCAAAGAGGTTTTGGAACCATACCCTGACATGAAGCCACATCTGGGGTGCCCCCTATTCCTGTCAGCTTTGCCAGCATAGGATAAGGGAAAGCTGAAGTTGCATTTTGAAGAAGCATAACTCTGAAGATACTTTGAACACTCACCCAGCAAGGAAAGACCACTCTGCCATGGCTCATCCACTGCCCTTCAGCAGGAATTTGGGGTACAGAGTTACGGAGTGGGAAGGCAAAAGGAAATGTGCAGGAAATGCCCATCTCACATCCCCCCAGAGGGGACATCCTGACCCCGGTGTGATTTGAACACACAGCCTTCTGATCTGGAGTCAGACGCGCTGCCATTGCGCCACGAGGTCAGGGGTGGGATGTTCTTCCCCCAAATATCATCCTGGAATTTGGGGTCTTCTTTGAGGGAATGGGAATTTTGCTTCACCTAACACAAGAGTGGCACCATCATTGCCTGCCTTGCCTTGCTAAACAAAGAGGGCTCTAAATGAGATACTTCACAGGAAGAAGGACAAAAATGGCCACTGCCCAGAGCAGCCCTGCAGAGCCTCTCCCAGGAGAAACAGACTCCTGGATCTGGTGTCTCCAGAGGGACAGGAAAAATGGTGGCCCAGTGTGGGAACCCTGCTTACTAAGAATTTTAGACTTTGTGTGCTGACAGGCATTGACCCCCAAGAGAACACTGCATTTGACCTGAGGCTGTGGAGAAAGCTTCCAAAATTAAATGATAGAGCTGGGAGTATGGGTGTGTAGTTTGAATAGAAGTGTGTAATATCACATGGTGGGAAACTTAGAGTGTAAGGTTTTAGAATAATGTATACAAAAAAGATAGAGGTTTTAGAGCAGAAGCTGGTCCATCTTCTTCACCTTCTTCTTCACAGGTTTGAGTAGTATTGTGTAATTAGATTTTAAAAACCTGCATTGAAAGCCACAAGTAGTTAGTTATTAAGTCGAATATAAAAATAATTTGTGTCATTGCTTAATTAAACAGCTTATCCTTAAAAAAACCTTAGAGAGAGACAGAGAGAGATACAACTTCATTTTTAGCTTGTTAAAATAAGGTACTGTAGAACTCACAGCTTGTAAAACTATAATATAGATAAAAACTAATAAACATCTGGGTCCAAACATGAAATTCCATCTCACACATTTAATCCCAACCTTAACAAAAAAAAAAAAAAGCAAAAACTCCACAGGTCAGCACCTCCCTGGGGACAGAAGCCCCATTCACGTGGAAGATGCATGGATATCAAACCCATGATTCACAGGGCACTGGTCATACCCAGAGTGCAGGACAAAGCAGGGAGGTGTGGTGGGTGTCTGCTGCACTTTGCCTCATGAGGAAGCTGAAGGGAGTGAAGGCTTTCTCTGAAAAGAGGAAAAAGCTCCACAACTGCAGGCTCATTTGCTCCTGGGGCACCTGGACTTATCTCCATGTGATGTTTCCCTGTAAGACCAGGTGAGGTGGCACAGTCAGTCCTGGAGTGTTTAAGGACAATGGTTCAGTGTAAGAGATGGAAATGGAGAGAGGTTCCGATGAACACCACGAGGAGTTTCTTCAAGAAAAGAGTAAAAAAGAAGAGTCTGGTCCATTCCACCTCAGAGGCCAGGTGAGAATGTTCCTGAAATGAAGGAAGAATGTGATGATGGCTGGAGACAGGGACCATGGACTTCCCAAGGGCAGAACACTGAGACAGTACAATTCCTTCCTCAATGGCCAAATGGACACTGAGGAACATCATTTGTCTTGACTTTGGTTTCACCTCTGACAAGGTCTCCCAGATGTGTCCCTGCAGCAGGACACACACACAGAGCAGCTGAACTCAACCCAAAGGCAAAGCAAAAGTTCATGATCCACTGAGCAACTAGCCCGAGGCTCTGATCCCACCTGCTGTCCTCACTTCAGGACCACATGGATTTATTGGTGGTTAAAGGGAAGTGGCAGGATCTCACCTTGCTCCCCCCTGCCCATTCCATGTCAGCCTTGCCCTCCTCACTTGTGGTCCCACTGGTTCCACCACCCAGGAGAGGAGATGCCTCTACTGAGCTCCAGGCTCAGCTCAGCTGCTCTGGAGGGCTGGAGGGCACATCTTGCCTTCCTATGGGATGTGTGGTTAAATTTCCCAGGCCTTATAGAACTCTCTGTGGTGCCCAGTGGAGGAGAAAGCTTAGCCCAAGGCCATGTCCACTTGCTCCAGCGTGGTGACAGAGGGATGGGCAGGTGAGCTGTAGCAAGATCTTGCTTGATGGCCAATTGTGGTGGGCTACCCTGCACATGGACACCTTAAACCTTCCTGGCCCAAACCACAGACACAGTGAAGGTACAAAACAGTGATGACAGCACCATGAATGTGCAAATGTGGGATGAAGCAAAAAATGAACATGGAAACAGGACTTTTACATCAAATAACAGTGATTTGTGATTTGTGTTGGAAATTACATGTGGTGGTCTGCAGTCCAGACTTCTCAGGACTGCCTGCTCAGACTCTGAATATCTCCAAGGATGTAGAGGCCACAGCCTCGCTGGTCTCCTCTCTTGGTGATTAACCATCTCACAGAGAATTTTTTTTGCCAGTGTGTCCAGTCAGAACCTGCCCTGATTCAAGGGAAGGGACAACACCGGAGAGAGGCAGGGCACCATGGGGGAAGATGTCCCCTGTCACCATCAATATGACAGCCAGGCTGTGGGCAGGAAAATTGCGAGCCAGGCAGGAGTCGAACCTGCAATCTCCTGATCCGTAGTCAGGCGCGTTGTCCATTGCGCCACTGGCCCTGTCCCCTGGTCATCCCCATGTCCCTGCCAGGCTGGCCGTGTCCTTCCTTCTGTGGAACATCCTCTGCTCCCATCACAGAGGCCTTAAACCTCTCCCAGCTCAGCATCCAGCAGTGAAGGGTCCCCTGGACCACCAACACTGACCCCAACCCTCTCAGTGCCTGGTCCTGGCCCTTGATTTGCCTTTGGATTGAGTTCAGCTGCTCTGTGTGTGTGTCCTGCTGCAGAGACATGTCTGGGAGACCTTGTCAGAAGTGAAACCAAAGTCAAGATAAATTATATTCCTCAGGGTCCATTTGACTACCAAAGAAATAATCTCTTCAAAGAAATCTATTATTTTGGTCTTGGGTGGTCTGCCTTTGGTAAATCCTTGGCGTTCCAGTCATTTGCACATCTTTCTTCCTTTTGGGCTTTCTTAGGGGTTGTTTCCATAGTGTTCAGGCAGATCCCAAGCTGTGATTGCCCAGACTAAAGCTTTCCAGATGGTCTTTTTTAATATTCTTGAAAAAAATCTTTCCATGTTGTTCATCAGAAACTTGTCCCTATTTCTATAATCCCACACAGCGTAATTGCTCTTGATTCCCCTCCAGATATCCCCTGGACTGACCATAGCACCCCATGTTACCCTGCCAGGCAAGCATGTCCAGGTCCTCCAGAAGTGACTGAGCCCGGAGTTAAAAAGTTTCCTGCATTTTCCTGAGGAAGGCATTAACTCCTTCTTGAGGTAAATTATGTCCTATACCCACCACAACAAAACCTCCCTGCTTGCATCCTGACCCATAATTTCCATCCAGCACAGCTCCCTGCTCAAAGGAGAGCTCTGGGCATCATGTTCCCCATAAAGTCTAGTCCGTGCCCCTACACCCTGAGCCCTGCCCTTCTGTCTTGGTTTGAGAAGACAGATGTCTGCTAAGGAAGGCAGGAGCCTTCCTTGAAATGAAAAATGCAAACCCCCTCCCTCCAAATTATTATGGTTTTGAAATTAGGGGCTCTCAGGCAAATATATGGGAATAGGAGTAACAGCTCTTTGCAAGGAAAATTAAAAATACAAATGCAATAGTACAAAAAAAGAAAACAAACCACTGACACAGTCAGAACATGACCTGACCCCCTGTGGTTCAGGGTGTTGGTGGCAGTCCCATTAAATGGTGGCTGCAGCCCTCCTGCAGTGCCAGCTGTGGTTCTGTTGGAGCAGGGATCCTGTACAAGGGTGGAGTTTTCCTCTGAAGCTGCAGGGGTGCTGGAGATGGGCCTGGTCTTCCTCTGGGAATCCAGTGGAGAAGAAAGCTGCTCCTCTGGGAATCCAGTACAAAAGGCTGCTGTGGTGTGCCAAATCTCAGATTATATTCAGGTAGGAATGCTTGGCTCCTCCCCCTGGGTGGAGCATCTCCCAGTGGGATGATGTAATTTTTTCAGCCGTGCAGTGACACTCACTGGCTCATGAACAGAAGGTATTTCCTGGAGGGAGGTTTGGTTGTGGAAGAGATAAAGAAAAGCTGCCCAATTAACAGAAGATACCTGCCCCACCTCCAACAGATGGAAATAGAATACACACCCCCAGCCCAAGACACCCTCCCACAGAACAGCCCCCCAGAAAAGCAGAGGGGTGCCAGCGGAGCCCCAGACTGACCCCGGTGTGATTTGAACACACAACCTTCTGATCTGGAGTCAGACGCGCTGCCCTTGCGCCACGAGGTCAGGATGGAGGGGTCCAGGGGCCTGGGATTGGCCGCTGGGAATGTCCTTCCCGTGGGGACCACCCCAGGGCGTCCCTGCACCCCAGCAGCAGGGCTGTGGCAGGAGGGGCAACCTGAGGGGAGGGTGGCTGCAGAGACCAGCCCAGGCTGCAGGATGAAAGTGTGGGGTGGGATGAAAGGCCCCACAGGGTCAGTGAGGGCAGGAACCACGCTCAGGGATGCTCCAAGGGAGGATGGTGGCCCAGGGGGGAACACAGGACAGCCCAAGGTGGGTTTGGCTGCAGACTCTGAAATGGTTTTGGTAAAGTGGAGCACACGTGGGCTCAGGCCATTCCCAGCTCCTGATGCCCTGCCCCAGCCACAGCCCTGTGCTGGCTGGGAGTGGCACCTGGAGCTCCTGCAAGGAGGGCAGGATGTCCCCCCACTGCAGGCAGGGTCCACCACCAGCTCCAGCTGCCCAGTCCTTTCCTCATGGGTGCTTGGGGCAAGGCTGCCATGGACAGCAGTATCAGTAAGGAAGTGAAGCCTTCCTTAGCCCTCTCCAACTCCATTCCCAGCTTCATTCCCACCCCATGGAGACATGCTGGAGACAGTCTGCTGGGTACCAGGGTGTCTGGAGAGGGGCAATACAGGCAGGGGCTGTGGCCAGCAGTGCAATGGGCAAAGCCCCAGGAAAATCCTCCCTGGCTCAGCCTCTTCTGAGGCAGAGCTCTCAGTATTACTATAGTTATGGAGACTTTTAAAGCTATAGAAATGTTATAAAATTATATGAAGTTAGGAAACATTAACTTCATAGTTAAACACTTACCCTGAATATAAGAAACTCCCTCCAAAAAATTCGATTGATCTGTAAAATTTGTCTGAAACCAAATCCCATCCCTGCTGTCTAAACATATCAATAATCACCAGACATTTTCCCTGGGGATTACCAGTGCTGAGGATGGAGTAAAGAGGCATTTCCTCTTGCTTTTACCTTTCCACCAGAGCAAACCCTGCACCACGAGGTCACTCCCTCCCTCCAGCACCTTTTCCCACAAGAGGGAGCCAGGAACCAGCTCATGAGCTGTAAATCAGGCTGGAGATTAATTTAGTTCAGTGGAGAATCCTCCATCTCAAGGCCAGGCTGGAAATTCGGCTTGTTTCCTTCCTGGAAATACAGTGTTTTTTCCTCCACAGCCCAAAGGTTTTGCTTATTCAACCCCAATGGTTGCTGTTAGATTTCCCCCCCATATTTTTCCCTGCTGACCACCCCCAGTGGCACCTTTCCTCATCCATCCCACTCTGTCACTTGCTGCTCACAATGTTGTAAATAAAATTAGGTTCTCAGCCAGTTCTAGGACCACTTCAGCCCAACTGCAGTCAAATCCTGCTGATTTACATTGCCATAACACAAATCTGGTTAAGTACTCTGGGAAAGTAGATGTTTCCCATCAATTTAGCATCCCAGGTATTATTTTCAGAGCTGTGCCATGACTGAAAACTTCAAAATTAATAAGAAGTCTTCCCTTGTCATAAAAACTCCCTTACTCAAAGGGTGTGAGTGCCAGGCCAAATCAGCAAAACCCTCCAGGGGTGGGGACTTCACCACTGCCCTGGGCAGCTGTGCCAGGGCTGGACACAGCTTTCTGTGAAGGCATTTTTCCTAATTTCCAATCTAAACCTCCCCTGGTGCAATTTGTGGTGATTCCTATTGCTCTGTCCCTTTTTTTTATTGGGAGAGGATCCTGACCCACCCCTGGCTGTCCCCTCCTGTCAGGGAGTTGTGCAGAGCCACAAGGTCCCCCCTGAGCCTCCTTTTCTCCAGGCTGAGCCCCTTTCCAGCTCCCTCAGCTGCTCCTCACAAGAGATCCTTAGGCAAGGGGAAGAACTTCCACTGTGTGTGAGCATTTCTTCTGTGATCCATATAAAACACCTGGAATAACCTGGGAAAGTAACCTGGGAAAGGAGGAGAACAAAAAAGAGCAGAGAAAGTGCAGAGGCATCAAGGCAGACTGAGATGGTACTTGAGTTTCAAAGAGTTGGGTTTTTTTCTGGGATAATTTCTGATCCTAATTTGAAGGGGACTGTGATTGTATGAGCACTTGTGGTCTGATAGTGAAAACATTCTGGAAATGATGGAGAGGGATTTTGAATGTGAAATTACTGGGCAGTCACTCCTCTTCCACTATTGTTAACACACTTAGGGTTTTAAATTTGTACTTCACCTCCCACGGAGATAAAATTTTAAAAGACAAACATTTCCAGGTCATCACTACAGAACAAGACCATTTTTCTTTGTGATTTAAAAAATAATTGTTGAGAAAGCTGGGTGTGTGCTCCAGTCTGACAAAGTACAATGACAGATCTTGGGAGCTGAGATTAAGATCTCAGCTAGGATCCCTTTGGATTCAGAGGGAACCTGAGCCAGCTGAAGGGCTTTTGTTGCAGCTTTTGTTTCATCCCTGTCCCTGGAGTAGCTGGAAATGGACACAAACGCCTCTCCTTCAGGACTGGATGTCACCTGCAAATTTGCAGCGGAAAGCAAACAAAGAAAGCGGGGAGGCAGACAAAGAACAATGCACATGGCTGAGGGGGAGGTTTGCATTTTGTGTTGTTGATATCGAGGCTGCTGGGTCAGAACAACATCAATAAATACCTTGTACAGAAAGAGGCTGAAGTAAATGATGGAGGGAGAACCTGAGCTGTCAGCTGCCACTTCCACTTGTCTGTTGATATCATTCAAACTCTGTACAGATGAATGCTGAGGCAAACTCATTAATTTCACTTGTCATGTGCTCTTTGTGCACCTCCAAAGTTGAAGGTGCTGCTGGTGACTGATAATCTGCACTTCATGTATCATAGCAACATGGAATGGCAGAAGGGTTTGGGATGAAAAGGATCTGAAAAATCATCTCATTCCAACCCTCTGACATGGAAAGGAAGACCTTCCACTAGACCACTTTTTTTTTTTTTTTCACAGCACCTTTCACAGAAAAAAATACAACTATTTTATATGTTTGTCTATGGAATTATCATAATAATTTATTTCTTTATCTTGGGAACAGACGTTGCATCACAGGACAAGCAGCAGGATCAGATATTTTTTGTTGTCCAGAGAAGCTCTGGCTGCTGCTGGATCCCTGGAACTGTCCAAGGCCAGGCTGGATGGGGCTTGGAGTAACTTGGGATAGTAAAAGCTGTCCCTGCCCATGGCAGGGGCTTGGACTGGATGATCTCTAAAGTCCTTTCCAACCCACACTGTTCTATGATTCCATGATGATTCTATCATGTTCCAGCTGCCTTCTCTCCCACCAAACAATGGCTAATTTCCTCCAGATAACCCATTACCAACCACATTGACATTTCAAGTTAATGATGCTCTCTGGGTGGATCCATATTGATAAGGGGCCCTCCCAGCAGCCTTCCCAGTGGCCAGGCAGGCAGGCACAGCTCTTTGTCCCCTTGTTTTTGTGCCCCTGAGCCATTGTTCAGGTTTAGCCACGTGCAGAGGTCAGGCTGTACCCGCTGCCTTCCCCTGCCACCCCTGCCAAGGTTCCCCAGACAGCCACAGGGGTTCCCACTGCCCTATAAATGCCAGAGTGCTCCCTCCTCCCCTGCTCAAAGGTTCTGGCATTGTGTCCCTGTCTCCACACTGCAGCTGAGACCTTCCACCATGAAGCTCTTCTCCTGCCTCATGGCTCTCCTGCTTTTCCTCCTCCAGGCTGTTCCAGGTAAGGGCCAAGCCCCACGCTGGGGTTTGCCTGTGCAGGAGGTACAGCTCGCTCCTGTGGTGGTGCAGAGTGTTCTCCTCAGCTCCTTTTCTTAGAGCCGTTCCCTGTTTCTCAGTCTAGAAGCAGAATGGTGAGCAGGTGTCACACCAGAACCTCCCCACACAAGCTTCTGCCAGGTGTTGGGTCCATCTTTGAAATGTCTTTTGTGGCACTATTGGATGGTGGCACCATGGAAATCACCTCCTCTTCTAAACCCAGGGTTAAAAATTGTCTCTTCTGTGTACTGTAAAAGAGAGCAGAGGTGTTCCCTGGTATTTTTCAGGTTGAACTTCACCACTGACTTCAGCTGTCTGAATATTCTGGTTCCCCTTCCTCAGCCCTTCTGCTGCACTGACTCATCTTCTGATTGTGTTTTTATCCTACATGTTCTTCATGCTTAATGAACCTCCTCACCTTGAAGAAAGGCTTCCAGAGAAAGAAGGGACTGGGCAAACTGCTTGTTCCCGTTAATTGAGCCAGATCCTGCTTTTGGGGGTTTTTAAAAGCCATTATTTTATCTTCGGGGCATGTGGTGATCATGCTGTCCTTTGCATGTCCCTGCAGCGCTGCAGTCCCAGAACTCAGAAGCATCCAAGACTGGGCTGCTCCTTCCCATTATAGCACAAATGGCCAGGATATGTTCAGAAAATTGCCATCAACCTCTATGTTTCACTCCAGTTGTACAACAAACCTTCCTTGAAATGCTCTGAGGTCCCACGAGTTCCTCAAAACTCCTGGGTTTTGGGGGTATTTATGTCAGATCCCTAACCGGGGTCTGTGGGGTTTCATCAGGAGGGATGGAGATGAGAATGGACTGATCCTGCAGCACAGCTGGGAATCCCATTCTCCCCGTAGGTCTCGGCTTGCCCAGGGACACCTTGCGTTGTTTGGAATACCACGGATACTGCTTCCACCTGAAATCCTGCCCAGAGCCCTTTGCTGCCTTTGGGACTTGCTATCGGCGCCGGAGGACCTGCTGTGTTGGTATGTGTGGGAGCCCTGCCAGGAGGGCAAAATCTGGGGGGAACTCAGCAAAACAAACTTTGCCTCCAATTCATAGAATAGCAGAATGGTTTGGGTTGGAAGGGAGCTCGAATCCATCGTCTCATGGTGAACTCATCCAGTTCCACCCCCTGCCATGGGCAGGGACACCTTCCACTATCCCAGGTTGCTCCAAACCCCATCCAGTCTGGCCTTGGACACTTCCAGGCACAGGGTCTAAGCCATCTCTTTCCATGTACAAAGATGGACCTGTGTGTTCCTCCAGTGACATCAGTGTGGAGTCTTTGGGGCTGGCTAAAATAATCAAAGCTCTGCCTCCAGCTGAGGAAATAAAATAGAAGTTTTGGCCCACAAGGGAGTCCTCTTTCCTCGGTAAATCTTCCTATTTGGCTGCACCCACTCTGCCGTGCTTAATAGGTGCCAACTGATCTTTTCCCTGTTATTTTATCTGAATCTTCACAGAATTGCTTGGTTTTGGTGCTCCTAGATAGATAATCCTCAGCATAAAACATTCATGAGTATATACTTCAGAAACAACTGTGCTAATCCTAAAGTTCCTCTGATCCAGTATCCTGGATCTGTCCGTGGCCAGAAGTGGATATTTCCTTGCAGTTACTCTGTCTGTGTAAAGTGACCACAACCATATAATTACATTTTTTTATATATTATTCTGGCTTTCGTGAAATTGCAGCTCAGGATTTTTAGATTTAGGCACCCTTGTGTTTAAAAGATCTTACTGGATTTTTCCCTCCAGGTTAGGAATTCCTTCAATTTCTTTTAAAACCTCATCCCTCACAATTTTTTTCAGTGCCACCTACTTGAAATGTAGTCATTCTGCATCCATCTTTTTCACAGCTCTACAATATCCCTCCCTCAGTTAATTCTTTTTCAAGCTGGTGGGACACAAATTCCTTCTTTTACAGAAGTGCTGTGATAAACCCCAAAGCTCAGTTTTGTGTCTTTGCTTTTGGAGACACAGTAAACACGACTTCCCAACAATTTTTGTGTATGACATTGTTTGGATGGCAGTGTCAGGTTTCCTGGTTTGACTTTAACCCTCTGAATTGCAGACACAACATCCAACTTCCACATCTGCCAAGATGAGGGGGGCCATTGTGTGCCCCCAGAAGTCAGATGTCTGCAAGAGCAAGAGGGGCTCTGCCCTCGCAGAGGATGGAAATGCTGCACAGAAGTGTGACAAGGACCTCGTGGGACTGCAGAAAACCATGGGAATGAACAGCCAAGAAAGAAAACAAGTTTTACTCCAAGTGTTGTAGATGTGTCTGCTGTTCTCAACATGCAAAGTGTGTAATTAACTAGAGGTGACATGTGTCTTTATATAAAGAAGGCAATAAGTGCTAAATAAACAGGTGCAACAGTCTTATGGAAAGAGGCAGAATGTCTCTCTATTACACCCACATGCAGTATTACACAAAAATTTGCTGTTGCATCCTTGGAAACCCCATCCCCTAATCCTTCTTACCAGCCTAATCTTATTTACCATGTTTGATTTTACACTTGAATGCTTTAGAAGACTGAGGACACTTAATCACAGAATCATTAAGGTTGGAAAAGATCTCCAATGTCATCGGGCCCAACCTGTGACCGATCCCCACCCTGTCACCCAGCCCAGAGCACTGAGTGCCACATCCAGTCATTGCTTGGACGCTTCAAGGAGCAGCTGAGGGAGCTGGAAAGGGGCTCAGCCTGGAGAAAAGGAGGCTCAGGGGGGACCTTGTGGCTCTGCACAACTCCCTGACAGGAGGGGACAGCCAGGGGGGTTTGGGCTCTGCTCCCAGGGAACAGGGACAGGAGGAGACGAAACAGCCTCAGGCTGTGCCAGGGGATGGTCAGGTTGGACATCAGGAGGAATTTCTTCATGGAAAGGGTGGTCAGGCATTAAAACAGGGCGCCCAGGGCAGTGATGGAGTCCCCATCTCTGAATGATTTAAAAGAGAGACAGCTGTGGCATTTAGGGACATGGTTTAGTGGGGGCTTGGAACAGCTGGGGAGTGGTTGGACTCAATGAACTTGAAGGCCCTTTCCAACCTAAATGACTATGATTTTAGTTATGTTGTACTGTTTGGGTATTTTTTTAGGGACAAAGGGGTTTTTAATTTTACTCTTTAGCCTGCCAGTTTAAGATGTGTTCACAGAGCAGTTTTTTTTACTACAGCTGAAGGGACAGCAAACAGCAGGGCCAGGCAGGGCAGCTGGAATATCAGATTTTACAGCCAGAGCTGCACACTCACCACAGATTTACCACCACAGGGTGCACTGCTGAACTAAGAGCTCTTCCACCAGCACTGTGTGCTCATCACACTCAGGAATGAAGCCTCCCAAATTCCTCGGAAGCCAAAGCTGGGGGAAAAAATAACACCCAGGTTTCAGCTGGAGAAAATATTCACACGAGCTCAGATTAAAAACTAATCACTCCCAGCCTGCATCCTTCTCCTCACTGCAGATCCTCAGAGCTCTTCCCTTGCAGGTTGCTTCCCTCCTCCCTGTCACTTCCAAGGGATTTTGCTGGCTGCAGGTGAAGGGCAGAGGATCTCCCTGAGCTTCTTTTTTTCCAGCTGGAATTCTACCAACCCAAAATGCCAGCTGCCAAGGAGAGGAATCAGGAAAACCAGTAACCAGTGAACATGAAAAAAAAGTCAACATTGTTTGGAGCAGCAGCACAGGGTCAGAACGACACGAAAGGATTTCTCAGCAGCAAATGTTTCTCCGAGGACTGGAATATAATTAACTCCTGCCTACTCCTCCCCTCTTCCAGGATGCCATCCAGCATGCCAGCAGCACACAGAGGCTTCTGTGAAATCTCACTCCCAGCCCTGCGATTTTCCAGCAGAGCCAAAGGAACGGGGATCCTCGTGCTTGTTCTCATATTCATCTCCCTGACCCAGCATGGTAAGACCAGGAAGGCCTGGGGTGGTGAACAGGATATCTGGGTACAGGGATAATCTTTCTTCACTGTGTGATAGGTACTGAGGAAAGAGGTTTTCTGGGTGAGGTACTTTGGGAAAATTCATTATTTAATCCCTTGGGGGAATACAAAATATGAACAGGGAGGAAGCTGTGAAAATGGAGCACATCACTGAGTTGGGAGAAGCCCTAAAGGAGAAACCCTGTGCTCTGGGAAAATGTTCCTGCCTTTTCTCAGGCTGCAGTTGCCTCCTTGGCAGGGAGAGGACAACCCCTCTGACCTCCCGTGCACAGTCTTTGCCAACATCCTGAAAAAACAACTCCTTGATAAAACATTCCCTGAGGGAGGTTGGCTCAGCAGCTTGGGATTTCCAACATGGATATCTGAACCTGTCTGTGGGATGGGGATCCTGGGTGTGCTCGAGGTGCCCAGGCTCTCTGTGTGCTCCCAGTGCTGGCTTGGCTGCCTGGGAACATGGTGCCAGAAGGAACCCCACTAATTTCATCCACGAATTTGCTGCTCCCTTGTCCAGGAGAGGCTCAAGGACCAGACAGCTGTAACCACGGAGGGGGCTTGTGCCGAGTGGGAAGCTGTGTTTCTGGTGAATACCTGGCTCAGTACTGCTTTGAACCCGTCATTCTCTGCTGCAAAAATCTGTCACCCGCCACCACAGAGAGCTGAAGGTTTCCAGAGGAGCCACTGCAGCACATGGAGAGCTGCAGGCTCCACTGGCACGGCACAAGCAGCTGTGGGGAAGGAGATTTTGTGGTTTCTGTGGCTGTTGCTCCCCTGAGAGAATATACTTGTGGATTCACTCATGAATCCTGAAGGATTCCTGAACACATTGGTTTTGCTGTAACTTTTTTTTAGGAGAAACTGGGGCCACCCATATCTGTGGCCCTTTTGGGACTCTGATTGTTATCTGACATGCCCAGGTGAAAAATTGCCTTTCTGCTTACCTGAAACCAATAAACTTGAGGTTTAACAAAGCAGCAAGTGCCCACCTGTGAGTCAGCAAAGCTGCTAGTGGTGGGATGACACTGATCAGGAGTGACCACAGCATTCCTCACCTCTCCAGAACACCAGGGGGACTCTGTGCCTTTATTTCCCTTCCCAGAGAAAACAGCTGCCACTGGGAAAATAATTTTGGCATCACTGTTGGTGCAAAAGGCACCTGGTTTGACATGAAGGTGAGTGTGGCCTGTGCTTCTCAGGCAAGATCCACCCCCATCCACTTCTCCTTTCCAGGCTGGGCCAGGGTTTCAAGGCAGTCATGGAATCCCAGAGTGGTTTGGAAGGGACATTAAAGATCATGTCATTGCCATGGGCAGGGACACCTTCCACTATCCCAGGCTGCTCCAATATCCTGGCCTTGGATGGATACTTCCAGGAATCCAGGGGCAGCCATAGCTTCTCTGGGCAACCTGTGCCAGGGCCTCACCACCCTCAGAAGGAACATTTTTTTTTCCCTAAGATCCTAGCTTTACTTGTTTTGAACATGGTGGGGAGGGGATCTGAAAGCTGTGTCCCATTGCCCTGACAGGCTGCCCTCTCCATCCATGGACTGCATTTCTGGTGCAACTCCTTTCTCTTTTGGTCACCCAGCCCCAAGGAAATCAGTCTCTTTGTCTCTCACAGCTTTCTTCCTGTGAGCTCCCTCAGCCTAAATTAATTTTCTGTCCAAATCCCCTCTCAGCCCTTCTGTGTCTTTTCAACACAAAATTTTGACACTTCCCTGCCTTTGTCAGCTCCTGGTCTCCCTTTCCAGGTAAAATATTTCTCTCTGGGTCAATGATTTCTGTGAAAGCAAGGAAACAATGATGTAATGAGAGAGCTATGCCAACCAGCTGAGGCACTGGTCAGACTGAGCCAGGGAAAAGTCCTCCCTGAGAGATGAAATTATTGTTCTGATGAACCAAACAGGAAAATTCCCGCTGACCTCACCAGGGTCAGGCCCCGCTGCCAGAGGGATGACAATTCATTCATCCAAGAGTCTCCATTCACTGATGAGCAGCCCTCGAGTCGTCACTGGGACTCCAGTGATGCCAGTGCTCCCCTGGAGATCCCCTGCAGCTGGATGAACCCTCAGGAGAGCCAGATAACCCAAAGCTGGCTGTTGGCTTGGGGACCGATTGTGAAAACAGGGAGAGGGCTGAATCCAGAGCCAAATTCCTGCCCATTTCCAGCCCATCCCTCTGACGCACGCTGATGTACGAGGACAGCACGGGAAGGGCTTTGAATCAAGGCACCTCTCCAAATCAAACAGTTTATTTCTCACATTCATCCACAGGGTTCATTGTTCCTGCCCCTCATCTGGGAATGCCCAGCCATCGTGGTTACAGCCTGGTTTCCCAGGAAAGTGAAGAGTGGGCTCTTAGAGCTCACCTTGCACATTTCTCTCATTTCTCTCAGGGCCTTCTGACCCTGATGTGCTTCAGACCTACTGCCAGTCCACCAGGAAAGGTGGAAAAGCTCAGTTTACAGGGAATATTGTCCCTCTGGCACTAATGAGCATGCTCACAGGCATGGTCCCTCTGTCCCACTGCTGTGTGCTCTCTTGTTTGTTGATCTGGATGGAAATAACCTTAAAAAAATGCCCAAACAACAACCAAAAAAAGAAACAAAAATCCATCATTATTTCTACCCAATGAATAAGATGAACTGAATTCCCTTCCAGTCTCACAGAGAGGGAGGGGAGAGAAAGAACCAAGGATAGGGTGGATGATGGAGAATGGCACTTCCAGACCTTATAAAACTGTTTTTTGATGTGGTTTCTTTATCCCTGAACTCACCTGGGGCAAAGCAGCCAGCTCAGCTCACGGCGGGTTGCTTGAACAGCAGCATGAACTCCTTTGGTGTAAGTGTATGACAGGGAATGCTGCTCAAATTAATTAAACCCTAGTTGGAGTACCCTGTGACCCTGGGGAGGAGGAAGAATCATAAAATCATCACAGAATCCCAGAATGGTTTGGGTTGGAAGGGACCTTAAAGATCATCCAGTTCCAATACCCTCCCACAGGCAGGTGAAAGCCAAATGAAGAAGAGGATTTTGGTGGGAAATTCTTCACTGAGCTTTGAACTCCAGCTGTCTGCACCTGATAGAGCTCAGAAGGCTACAAATAGGGGCTCTTTAGTACTACCTTAGCAAACCCATGCCTAAAGGAGATCCAGAAATCATCCAGAAATCTTGGGATGCATTATTGGGATCTCTGCAGCCACGCAGACAGCCAGGATAGAGCTCTACCTTCATGGCAGGTCTGTCAGCCACCACAAGCCTCTTGGATAACTGGGGATTTCAGTCCATGAAATCATGGCATGGATTCCCTCAGCAGGATTTGTTTGCTGTTCCCAGGCAACAGGCCAGTGTTTGTTTGGCAAAGAGAGCCAAATCCTCCTCTTCTGCCCTGAAAACATCATTGTGAGGTGCAATCAGGAGCAGGATGGTGCTGGATGGGCTCCTGCCTGGGAAAACTGAGATGCCGTAGCCATGGACAGCCCCTTGGATCCAGGCTGGCTCTTACATCCCTGGCAATTCCATGCAAGCCAGTGCAACCCCCTGCATGCCTGGATCTTCCTTCACCCAGGAGAAAAGAGGTCACATTCCAACATTCCACCCTCTCACATGGAGATCTTCCAAATCCTGTGGGGTGAAAGGAATCACCTCAGCACGGCCCAGCTCCAGGGTGTGCTGGGGAGATAAAACAGGTCAGGATTCAGAGGCTGTACCTACAGGAGTAAATCAGATCCTGTGAGGCTCAGAAGTTAGTGGCTGCTCAAATGTGCTGCCAGAAAATGAACTGTTTTCCACGCTGTTCCTTGGCACGGTTTGGAGGTGGGCACATGCCAGGAATGATCAATAAATGACACCTGGATGTAGTGTCACTGCACTGAGAAGTTAATTTCACAAGGTGTGCTCTGAACATTTTCTGTGTATCAAAACCCATAATTTCTTACTGTGTCTGGCTCTGGGGGCCTCTACTTAAGACAAACATGGACCTGTTAAAGAGAGTTCTGAGAATGCCATGGAGAGTGGTCTGGAATGAGATCCATGGAGGGTTTCTGGACTGGGGCTGACCCCAGAGCTGAGCCCACGATCATTTCCTCACAGGCTGAATTGCAGGGCTCTATCAGTGCTTGCTTGTTTGGCAAAATGCTGTCAGTGGGTTTGGGAGTAGGAGGTGGCATCACAAGCTGGCAAAAGGGTTCATTCTCCCAAGGAATTGCTGCTGCTGGCACAAACTTATCCCAGGATTCATTTAAAAATCAGCCTGCTCAGGTCCTGGCCTGAAGGCAATGAAGTCAGTGGAAACATCCTTCCCATTTGGGGACAGAGAGCAGATATAGATTGATTCAACTCCTCCCAGCCCCAAAACCTCTCAAGCACCCAGGAGCCGATTCCCGTGCCACGTGTCTGAGCACAGATCAGCCTTTGTGCTTGGTGAGCTCTGAAAAAAGACATCTGCTGGCAGGTTGGGAAGCAGGGGAGGGTGGGAGGCTGCTGGGGCAGCCCCAGTGGGCTCACCAGAGCCTGAGGCCAACACGGCAGCAGGACCACGCCAAGGGGAGCCAGACCAGCTGTTGTACAAGCAGTGGCCCAAGGGACAGAGATTTCCTGCCCCTGATTTCTGGAGGAAATCTGGTTTTTGTTGGTACTGCATAGTCCTGGATTTCTTTCCCAAGGCACGTTCTGCAACTCAACCCATGTACCACAGCTGCAGAGCTGGGGTTTGTAGCGGTGTGGTGGATGCAGCCTGGTCCCCATTGAGCCTGCAGCATCCAAACAGCTCCGTGGTGCTTCTTCTACCACAGGAGAGCAGCTGAGCTGGAGACAAACACCTGGAGTTTTGCCATTTGTCATTGGGAACACCGTGGCCACGTGGTACCCTGGCTCCACGCTCCACATCCTCTCTGGAGAACACCAAGCCATCTGCACACACATGTTCAGACACTTCAGGTCACACAGAGCAGGATGCTCACAGGAGCATCCACACACTCCTTCCTGCTTAGCTCAAGGAGTGCTGTCTCCTTTCTGCTGGATAAGCTCTGCCCAAATTCTTTGCTTTGGAGGTTCTTTCCTGTGAGGATGGTGAGGCCCTGGCAGAGGTTTCACAGAGGAAATGTGGCTGCTCCAACCCTGGAAGTGTCCAAAGCCAGGCTGGATGGGGCTTGGAGCAACCTGGGAAGGTGTCCCTGCCCATGGAAGGGATTGGAATGAGATTTTTTTTATCATTTTCTTCCCACCCAAACCAATCCACGATTCCATAATTCCAGGAAATCTCGCTGCACCATCTCTGACATTGGAGATGCCAATCCTCGGAGGTACAGGGTAGGTTATTGTCTTCCACCCAGGGAGGGCACCAACACTTCTCCAGGGGCTCACACACATCCTTGCATCCAGCTGTCCCCCAGGTGTGTTTCCAGGTCCATCTCCCTTCCCAGGCTGTGCGTGGCCAGTTTGCAGGACAGCCTGGTTAAGAGCTCAGTGTTCCCTACTCCAAAGTCCAACTAGTGAAGGCCCCTTTATCTGCACTGTTTGGTGAAGGTGATCCTTGTTCTGTTCAAGCAGCCTGAAGGACATGGGGTTTGCATTTTCCAGCACCCCCTGGCATCCAGCCTGCAAAGAAAAATCCATCGAGGTGACTTCTGAAGGGAAAAGGGAAGACTTGGTGATGGCCTCCGCTGCATCACCACTGTAAGAAAAACCTTTATAAAGTTTTTGTTTCCTCTTCCTCCATTTGTTGTTGGCTGGGGAACATTCCTGCTCATTGTTTGCTTTGTGTTGTTTTCCCAAGTTGAAATGCAGGTCTCACCTCTACTGATTTCCTGGAACTGACCTGGAGAACTGGTACAAACCTGAGAACCTGCCAGGATCTCTGGGAGACCTGTAATCCACCTGCTTTCCTGATGCCACTGAGTACTGCAGGGAGGTGTCCCAGTTTTCCCATTGAATGAGTACATAAATGAATAAAATATTAAATTTCCATTTTTTCCTGGCAGTTGTAAACAAAACCTTGGCAAGCATCCTCGCTGCAGCCTGGAAGTTGAGAAATTGAAGCAGACCCATGCTTTTTTTAAGGATCCCATTATTTTCAAGCCAGCTTTGTGTGTTGGGGAGTGCTGAGGAGGAGACTCTGGATTTTTTCACGCTTGACTGTGTCAGTGCTAAACACAGAGAGTGAGAGCTGGAAATGAAAAAAAAAAAAAAAAAAAAAAAAAAAAAAAAAAAAACCCAAAACTTTAATACTGCAAACACTTGGACTGGATTTTAACATCACATGCTTGAGCCTAAAAACACAGAGCCAGACTGGGTCAGTCCCAACATCCTGTCTCCAGCAGCAAGCAGTAGCAGACTCCCCAGTGCTCAGTGTAATTGTCAACAAAACCCTGATTTTCCTCTCACTTTTTGGTCTTTTTCCTTCTATTTTTTCCCTTTATTTCCCCTTTATACTTTCTGTCTGTAACACGATGTGACTGAGAGCAGGCATACCCTGTGCAACTGTTTGCCGTCATGTTGAAATGCACCTGAGATTGACAAAGTTCCCTCCACTCCAGGAAAATTACACAACCCCCCTGGCCTCTATAAATCCAGAATTTCCCTCTTATTCCTCTCTTTAGGGCCCTTCACTCCTCCTCGGGGCGGAACCTCCACCCACACCATGCGGGTTCTGCAGCTGCTCTTTGAAGTCCTTGTCATTCTCCTCCTCCAGGGAGCTCCGGGTAAGGACAAAATTCTCACAGGGGTTCCTGCAGGACTGTGGAGAGAGAACAGACTGGTTCCTACTCTTCTGAGGTAGGAGAGGACAAGACAGGGCGCTGAAGTCAAGGCTGACCTCACTCGTGCTTCCAAGGAAAAATTTTATCCTGGGATGGTCTCCCTTAAGTTCCTGCATGCAGCGGTCCTGAGTTCACAGGTTGTGCATCCCCTCCTGTCTGCACCCTCAAAACTCACCCAGAAAAGCTGGGCCAAAAACAGAAGCCTGAGCTTTGCTTCTGACCAGGATAAAAGCCTCATCCTCCACAAAACAAGGAGAATCCCATTAAATTCTGCATGAGTGGAATACAAATGTGGCAAATGGAGGAAGATGCAAGTGTGACCAGAAGGTTGAGGGAGGTGACTTTCACCCTCTGATCTGCTCTGGTAAGAGCCCACCTGCAAAGCTGCCTTCAG